TCGGAATCGCACTGCCTATACTACGCATTATTCCTTCTTTCCCTTACTGAGGGGCACAAAGGAAGGATCATATAGCGGCGAGCGCAGCGCGGCACGAGCTCGCGTCCGGCTGCCTTGCTCTACCAATGGTGATCGAGCAATGATCGATGTAGGAAGGAATCAGCCACTGGTGGGAAGGCCGCAGGTGGGAACCGCTGATTGCGACCCGACAGGTCGCGGTGATATAAACTGTAACTCGTTTGGTTTCCGGTTTCCTTCCACATAAGGGCACGTGCAAAACGGAAACCAAACTACTCTCTTATATTAACCCCATCACTCTATTCTATAAAGCAGTAACTTTGTGTGTCGGTTTGTCGGTCTGTATGTATGCATGTAAGTATGTTGTTTGTTTGTTTGTCCGTTAGCAAAATATTAGGTTGGCCCATAAGTAATGGCGCTTTTCCCACACTCGAAAGATCGCGCTAATGAAGTAAGAAAAAGCTTTTTGCCATTGAGATTCTATAATAACGTCGAACCCCGGCCAGGCGCGGAATACACATATGCCCTACACACACTAGTAAGTTTTAGTTGTCTCAACTTATTACTTTCCACAAATATTTTAAGTGCTAAAAATGTGCAGGTTGACGAAAAGTTGAGGCATTCTCGGCAGCCTTTCTTGTATGTCTACGATGTGAAAAGCTAAAACCGCTTGGCGCCAGCCTGCTAAGTATAACATGATGGCTGTAAATGGCGGTGTGAATACTTATAGTACTTTCAGGAGAATCGGAAGATTTTAGATTGCCACATGCGTCTCACAGACAAGCATCGAACTGCTAAATGCCCCAATATTCTCACAGCTCTGAGAGCTTCCAGATTCACCTTATTAACTGAGAGTCGTGCCAAAGATTGAAGGATTGTTAGAGGTCATCGAATGCATCCTTATCATCATAAAGTATCATCTTCACTCAAGTGGAGAAGTTTAAAACCTAGTGGATGGGTTCCGCAGGCAAGATGGCCCCCATGCGATGCTCATTTACAAGGTCCTGAATTCCATCATCACTTTAATAGCTTTGAACCTATTTCAAGCTGAGACATGTAGACAGGGATTTTCCTTTTGTCAAATCTAATAACGAGGAATCTTGAGCTTCTTTCGTAGATTGGCGAGACGCGAGAATACAATTCAAAAAGTAGTTGGTCGAAACTCCACTTTTGGTTTCGAGGCGCCGAATTTTCGCTACTAATGAACATAAAAGCCGGCGGAAATCATAAAAATTAGGGAGGTGTGGACCACACTGAGCTTATAGGAGGCAAGGCTTCTCTATCAAACATTGTAGAACATATTGGGAACAATTGTCGTTTTTCATATAAAAAATTGTGTGACCAAAAAACTCATTACTTGTGGGCCAACCCAATACTTCAGTTGGCTTCAGATCACCAAATTCGTGAAGCCGCGGATCGCATGCATTGTAAGAAGTCAATTCTGAAAGATGATATATGTGGTGGAAAAGGAACACTATCGTGTGTGATACATGTTATGCACAGCTGTGAGAGTCCGATTAAGGAGGCTAATGCCTATGGAAAAATCGGGAAATGTGTGGCGGCGGGCGTAACAAGTGTAGAAATCATTCCATTAGGTGACATAGAGAGTTAATCGGGACCACTGTTGGTGGGTTACAGAACGTTATCACAGCTGATAAGATCCAATAAGAGGCTATGTGAGGAAGACTCAGAAAGTTGAATAGCGCGGCGGTCGCAGCAAATAGGAAGTCAGTTTCATCAGCCGATATAGGGGGTAGAAAGGGAACATCAATGAGTGGTGACAGAAAGTGATAACAACTGATAGGGACTGATGGAGAAGTCGCCGTTGTTGTGCAGCCAATAGTCTGAATAACGTCACACGCTTCAGTGACATTTTTTACTTTCAACTTACTTTTTACTTTTAATTATTGATGAGAAGGATTGGTAAGGGAATATGAAAAGAAACCTAAAACCACCGTAGCCTAAAAAATCAGCACCTGCAATCATTTACACGACTTTAGCGAGTGGATTACGGCAAACAACTCACGCTTCCTTCAGTAAGCGTGGACTCAAGAGTGCAGAATTCGCTGGGTTACTCTATCCATCACGATTTGATCAACACAACGCAATATTAGCAGCTGAGTGAACGAAGTAATTCTGTTCCCGGCATAAGGCGCTCCTGGCGAAAGCTAGGCGCAGCTTCGGCGAAGATGAGCCGGCGTCAGCCGTAAACAGCTAACTGTAGAGCCATAAAGTAGTTTGTGTCACATACATTACACGACGCTGCAATGCCTCACACTACACTAAATTATTGATTATCACAAGAATGCTGAGTTGTGGGCAAAAGTCGGACCACGGGCGGGACTCGAACCCGCATCTTCTGCTTACCGGGCAGTTGCGTTAGAGCAGTAGCGTAATAGGGAACGCAACTGCCCGGTAAGCAGAAGATGCGGGTTCGATCCCGTCCGTGGTCCGACTTTTGCCCACAACTCAGCATTCTTGTGATAACTTTCGTATCGCGCACTGCGGCGTAAAACAGCAGTTATCAAACAAAAACAGTCTAAAATGAATTATTGAATGAAATGGGCCTATGTAGTGAGTTCCAAGGCTAGTCGATGAACAAATCAATGTTTGAATCCTCCAGATGAATCCACACTGCGGAAGGGGATAAAAGGCTTAGTTGAGCGAGCAGAAGCCGGTCCAAGATCTTTAGACCGCGAGCGCGATAAGCGGGTCATTTGCTACTGCACCACTTCCGCCGGATCTGGTCTGGTTATTGCGACTGAATGATATACACATTTTCGGACTGCTTGTTTCCTTCATTGTTTCCTGGCAACTTACACTTTTATTAACTAGCGAGGGGTATTCGACAGGTGAATAGCCACTGACTGGAGCTCCATCGATGACCGCTCTTAGCAGGGCACATCATTGGTTGGGGATTTTAGTCGAGTCCGTGCAACCTCCCCTTCCCTTTTTTTAGGGGTTAGTACGACTCCCCCCCCGCCTTTCCGTCCCCTGTCAATCCTCATCGAGGCCGAGGCGTCGAGCGGGGGGGGATGGGGGAAGTAAATAGCACCCATAGAAGGCAGGAAAGAGCCGACAATACGACCCCCTCTCTCTAGCGCAATCTCAGATTTCCTACTTCCTGGGCCATTTTTCCGAAAATTTCCCGAGAATTTCCCTACTTTTTCCGCAAAAATTTCCTGTAGCGGGGTGGTGGGGGGATATACAGGGGGGCCAGAAAAAGCCCAACTTTTCTTCCTTGACTTTCGAGGCGCTATAAGACACACTTTATCAAATTCTGATCGGACATTTCTACCACCATATTAAAGAGCATATTAAATACTATCATGATATCACAAGAATGCTGAGTTGTGGGCAAAAGTCGTGCCCCAGGCGGGAGTCGAACCCGCACCTCACGCTTTCCGGGCGAGTGCGCTATCCGTTACGCCACCAGGGCCTTTTACCCTCTCAGCTTAACGGCTTTTATGCCGTAGCCTATCAGCACTCACACGTTTAACTTGGTGAGCCGGTCAGCCGTAATCGATGGGATATCGGCATGAAACCGCGAGGCCTAAGGCTTTAGATGTTTTTGAAGCTGTTTTGTTATGATAACTGCTGTTTAACGCCGCAGTACGCGTTCCGAATGTTATCACAAGAATGCTAATCATAAAAAAACAGCTTCAAATACTATCATGATACTCCGCCACAGCCTTCTGGAGGAGCGCCATCGAGAGATTCTGCCACGCGACCGTGAGTGGGTACCTGAGTTCAGCGATATAGTTGATTTCTCCGCCACTGTAGACCACCCTGTTGAGCTCCGCCCGAACCGGGTAATTGAGGGAGTTTAGGTCAGGTGACCTACTTAGATATTCCATCTTCTTCAGGTACTCAACGTCCTTCCATTCCAAGTGGGCGAGTGTTTTTCCAATGCCCTTCGAATCCGACGTGGTGTCGCCCAATCCTGTAGCAGTACGCAGTTCCTCCAAGAAGGTACAGGGATGACATGAAGGCAGGATATTCTTCACGAGTTGGTCGATGTAACCGCCAGCGCTCACCTTCAGTCCGGGGTCCACGAAGAAAATATCGGTCTTTCCATTCCAGGTACTCAGGTCCATACCATCACCCGCGCCTTGGCGACTGCCGGAGCTGCTCGATGTTGGAGGTCATTCAGATCGAGAGTACTGGTCTCCAGGTAGCTATCCATGGGTGACTCCATACTAGAAGTTTCGCAGCTGTTTGGAGGTGACATGAATTCCAAAGGTCTTCTCCAGTCAGGCTGCGACTGGAGATGACTTCATATTTTGGTGTACATGAAGGTGATGGGCGAGAGCCAGCTCCTGCTTATCGAGGAACATCTTGGGTATCTTCCGCCCTGGTACTCGTATCCACGTCCTCTGTCTGGGCTGCAAAAACTTTGCTGATATGTGACTCGGTCGAAGTGACTTTTTTTGCCCCCCCTGTATAGTACGCATGAAACAGGAAAATCACGAAAAGTCAGCCATCGCTCCCACCCTTCCGAGTAAGGCTAGAAAGTAAATACGACCCCCTCCCTCCCAGCAATGAGCAGTTACGACCCCCTCCCCCCCCCTTTTTTTACAGAACGTCCGTGAAGGGAGAAATATCAACTATGCACAATGAATTTTTTCTACAGTCCAAGTACGACACCCCTCTCTGCGGCTAAATACGGCCCTCCCTGTTGGGGATTCCCCAACAACGATGTGCTCTGACTCCTAGGGTGGTTATTTTGCTACACTTGCGAAACAGCAACTTAATAAGCCTCTACGCACACTGAGTAACGAACACGTACTGTCACTTCTTGTGCCCAGTCTATTCCTCTACATGCTCCATACAATTCCAGTTGTGGTCATAAAGAACTATTTTCATCTTGAGAAAGAACGCTAACGTCTATTTTTTTTGCAGAGGACGACACGCATACAATAAATCTGACTATTAGATTTATTATTGAGCCCACGGTGAGGGATGATGTGCAACTGCTCATAATGGTGAACTCCATGCCAGATCGCTTCGTAGAGCGACAAATGATCCGAGCCTCGTGGGCGATACCTGAACTGTACGATGAACGAAGCACCAAGGTCCTATTCCTCGTCGGCAAGCCGGTTCGTTACCTGCTATGATTTGCTCTTACAGACTTGTTCAAATCCTTGCTCGTAGAGCGCATTCATGCACTGGAAATTTAGGCTCCGCTCCCATGGCCGCTTTGCGACTTTTTGCAAAATTTTGTCATACTTTTGAGTTTTTACTGCTGAGTGAAGCCCCGCCCACCACAAGAAGCCCACCCATTTTCGAAAAATTGTGCAAATGCATATCGGCGATATAGAGTCTCAGCTTGCGTTTTCAAATGTAGCGCTTTTGCAACACGAAACTCCAAGAATGACTGGCACAACAAGAACTGGCAGCATTTTACCCAAAAGCAAATGGAAACCCCTCCTCCTCCAGCGACCAAATACGTGCAACCTTTACTGCTGAGGATCCCCAGCGCAAAGTGCTCTAGCTCTAGCAATGACTCTACATCACCTGCAATATATATGACTCTTACAAAATGATAATATTTTTTCCCTCTTATCCAACCCTCCCTCCGCTCCCCTCAAATGCCCTCGCTTCCGCGAACTTTATTCATTGATCTGATTTGATCATTCGTGCTGCAAAGAGGGCCATATTCCAATTTTCGTTTTCACTCGCGTAACATGGAGCAAAATCTCTTTAGACCTCTCTAGAAAGTGAAGAAATGTTGGCAATTGAAGAAGGAAAATTTCACGATATCGTGGTTGCCGACATCAGGGAAGATTACTATTCGTTATCGTTGAAAACCTATGCGATGCTGTATTTCAAGCACATCAGGTATGTCATCCTTCTCATTAACGTGATTTTTTCAAAGTTGAGAAGAAGAGAATGTTTAAAGACCTTCAAAGTATTCTATAGTGACCAAGATACGACTTATTTACTTATTTACCAGTCGGATCGCTCGGCTGACGCCGAGCTCTCCTCCTTCTCTTTAGCTCGGCTTCGCCGAGCTGGCCTGGCTTCGCCAGGCGCACATAATTTGAACGAACTTTTTTCAT